TGCAGATTTTGTAGCGCTGCGAAACGAGGTCCGGTTCTAGAACAACGAAATTGGGTAACGCCGATCTGTTACATGATCTAACATTTCCAGCACGACTTTCGCAATGAGTCGACGGAGATGCATACGTTTAAATTATTACACTGATTGTATGCTGTATGCATTTAACCATCGCTCGAGAGAGATGGTACATTAGTGTAGTACAATCGTCGATCGACCGCTTGAGTATATATTAAATTATTTCCCCCGTTTTATTGATTATCTACGTATTTTCGATGCTCCGCATTGAATATTCTGGATGGTTATCGTAACTTGCATTGCATTGAGAACAGCGATACAATTCAGATCCCAATGCATGAATGCGTGGCAATTATATTATGGAATAAAAGAGTGAAGAGATAAACGACTGTTGTTGCGTATAAGAAAGAAATTAAAAAAAAATTCTCGACGACGTTCTGTATAAATATAAAATTCTTTCATATATTTTTCGAGTTTACAAATAGAATGTTCGTCAGGAATATCGAGACAATCTAAGAAACTGGAACGATTGTTATTTTTATCGATGATTTTTGTCGTATTGATAAAGATCTTTCATTTCCGTTAAAATAGCAGGAATAACTGGAAAAACTTGATTAACTTTAAATAATTATAGGAGTGATAAAGCTAGGAAATATGAATTATGGAGGCGCACAGAAATTATTCTTATGTTTACTTGTACGTATAAATAATAATTTAATTACAATAAGCCAAGTTGTAAAAAAGAACAAGAATAATAGGTTTTATATGTTCTGGTAGATAGAGAGAGAGAGAGATAAATATTTATTAGAAATTCTAGGGCAAGCCCGGTATCTAAGAACACGTTGCAGCATTGAAATTAAGAGCACAATAAAACAAAGACAGTGATGAACGCGAGATAAAGCGAGAAATTAGAAAATATACAAAATAAAGATAAAAGTAGATAGAGTGAAAAGAGAAGACGTGGAATATTCGTTATAAGTATCGCCGTAATTTGCAACTGCAAACTCGTGGATTTATTTACGATCTCTTGTGATGGAAATTTATTGGTTGAAAGCAAATGAATTTACTGCGACGTCCTTCGATGCATTCATAGGATTTGTTCGAATCGCTAACAATACCGACCATCCATCCGCATTCCGGTCTTCGCCAAAGGCCAAGAAACGGGAAACGCATTTATGATTGCGTAAAGGAAATAAAAAACGTCGTTTAGGAAGTCGATCTCGATTTAATCCAATCGAGCGCCGCACATCGCGGTTGGTTATCGATACGAATTGTCACAGAGTCATCCCGCTCGCGTGTTCATTCGCAGCATAACGATGAATCCGCGCAAATCGCTGGCATCCCGGATGCGTCGTCACGCATTCCACCAACTACGGAGTCACATCGTCAATTGTCCATGGTCAGTCGATATAATCGCGCACAGTTCGCACGTTCGAGTTTTTTATCATGCAAGCCGGATTGAACGATTCCGCGAGGGAACTTCGCGCATCCGAACTCCACGGCCTATAAAGGTGAAAAATGTTGCACGGTACGTGGATATTTCGCTTAAAAAGTGCATCTCTTTGAGTTATTGTTAGTGGGTTGATTCGCATCAACTCACGTATCTCGCGGTATTAAAAAAAAAACAATGTATATAATAATATATCGCTCATTTGTTACGACACAATTAAAAAATTGTCGTTTTTTTTAGTTGCTTGTAAAAAAAAAACGAAAACATAAAGAAACAAAGAGAGCGAAAGAACATACTTTAAAAGTATACATGTACCTTTATTTCTCTACAGTCAGTTATTACATCAAAATTGAATTTTAAAATTAATATTACAAAATTTTAATGATTCAAAATATTCAAACTTATTATCTGGAAAACTTCGTTTCTTGAGTTATGTCGTTATTTTAGCGAATAAGCGATATATTCACCCCTGTAATTTTATGGGCGGACAATGCGAAGTGAGTGGATCGATTGTTGATCCAAAACAAAGTGTAACAGAGTAGAATTGCAATGAAGATAACTGGGAACGGAGAAATAAACTTCCGAAGCGTTATAGAAATCACAAGAAAATAGTTCGTATTTTCCAAAGAGCGATTTGCCCGCCGATTATTTTCCTACACGGAATAAAGCACAAGTCTTTTAAAATCTTTTATCATTCTCAGCACAAAGTTATTCCCGTCGGAGAAGTTACAACATTTCGCGATATTCTATGCATAATAAGATCCTCATTTTAGCTTTATTGCTCATGAATTTCTCAATTGCGTAGCCCGGATGCTGTACGACAGGTTAAAACGGACTAACTCTATAAACGTCTCGCTACGTTGTAACATCCACTTATGATGTAAAGTACATAAATGAAAGAAGCTATCTGTGGTTCAACGAAACCTATATACGCAAAGCACAGGTGTTTAAGAATGCAATATAATAATCTTCAACTCTTATGTCAGATATTCTCGCTTCTACGCGGCTCCGACAAATAGAGAAAATCTCGGCTATATCAATCTGCAAATATGGTCCGATCGTGACTGGAGAACGGAATTTCAAATCGCGCGCGATGTCTTTATCATCATATATACGGGGAGAGTCGCGCGTTATCAGTCCACATATTCTGCAGATTGAATACCGTCTATTATGCGCAAAGTGCGAGAGGAGTTTCCTGCTGCGCCCATATGGCATCGCACCAGGTCGTTTGCATTCCCAGCGTCAGTCTGAGCGTGAACGCAGAATTAAACCGTGAACGATCGTCACACGACAGATATTCCACCGATTCGATCGTCGGGCAAATGCCAGACGTGCGTGTAGCAGCGTAGCCGGTGCGGATTCGCGCCATTTATTCCCTCGTGCGCGTTCATTGTCCGTTGAATCGCCCTGGTCTCTCTACAAGTCCGCGATGATTCGCCGACATGCATTCCACATCGATTGAATTCCAGATGATCGCTACCGATTTTCCCAACGATAGACAATCGACTCTCGTTCCATTCTTTCTATCGCGGGATATCTGTTCGTAAAACAATTCGTAGCGAGAGAGAAAAGAAAATAGGAGTCACGTCGCGACGCACGATTGCACTCGATGCGTAACCGGTCATCGCCATGAGCTAGGTGTCTGTAAAGTTAGCACGGCATTTTATTAATTTCCCATGTTCAAAAAATAATGATTGTTCCGGTAGCACTTTCCACTGTTCTCCAGGTCTTTCAAAAATAACAAAATGTTCTGTATTTTTAATATCAAAAAATCAAAAATAAACAAATGCCGTGCTAACTTCACGCGTTCCAGCACGGCATGACTTCATCTAAGTAGCAGATGCCATAAAAATGTCATAATAATGCCGTAAAAATTTCATTCCAGCATGGTATTTGTTTATTTTTGATTTTTTTATATTAAAGATGCTGAACATTTTGTCATTTTTGAAAGAACGCGGTAGAATAAAAAGGAAAGTGCTATCGGAACAATTATTATTTTTTGAAAATTAATAAAATGCCATGCTAACTTCACAGATGTATTCCCTAGCCCAATGGTAGCTCATAGCTGGCCGGAGTCTTACGTAACTAAACACATACTGGCCCGGTTCCGGAGGTTGACTTAATTGCGCCTGATAAATTGTCTTTTCCTCTCTCTCGTCGTCTGTCTCGTCAGTTTGTTCTCAACGCAATAGCCTACTGCCGCTTCCCCCGAGCGTCACGCGTTTCCGTTCTGCCTTTCGTCCTGTGTGTCTGTCAATTTCATTCCGTACTATTCCCATGTTCACTGCATGCATCCGGCATGGCGAGGACTCGCCAGCATGAGATTCGAAGTTTGAGCCTACATCACACATGTAGGATCTTTTGCATTTCACATATTTCATTTTCACATAAATTTTCTTTACTACTCTGGAGTGAAGAAAAATAATTTTGAGAGTGTAAAGCTTTTAGGAAAATAGGCGAGTCTCGCATATATAGATGTTAACTCTAGAATTATACGGTACACGTCGACTCCATATTTCTTAGACCTAGTCGAATTTTAATCAATGTACATATTATGTTATTATGACATTGTTTAATAATTTATTATATTTAATAATATATGAAATTGTATTTAATGATGTTATAGTGTTCATTATTTCAATTTTACAACAAAATATTGGTTGTTAGATATCAAAGGTGTTAGATATCAATGGCTTGAGTTATCCAATTACCCAACCTCTTGAGTTAAATAACATTTTATTACAATATTTTTAACTTCCATGTGTGACAAAATGTAAATCAATCCTGTGGTTAATATAAAAGTGAACAACATCCATATAAACGTATGCACTTGGTAAATAATAAATTAAATGTAAATCAAATTTAATACATTTACTCGAATTAAATTGTTTAACTCCATTATATTATAGTTAAATTAACCTATAAAAATTATTAAGAATAACTCAAATTAAGTATAATTTGGCATTATGAATTCAACAGTACACAATAAGACCTGTATTCTTTGTGTAATTTTAACTACAATATTTTCTTCTTATTTAACTCTTTGTTAACTGTGGTGCAAAACTACGCTTAAAACATAATAATCCGGCGTAGACACTTAGTTTAATGTAATTACACTTTATACTATGTAAATCCTATTCAATTCGATTTGTATTTATACATGATCGTAAAATCTTAAGGAATCGTATATTATTTCATGCATTTTTCGCTTATGACTGGTAACGGCTGACTGGCTCGCCGAGGGCGAGCGATAGAAGTTTACAGTAGATATTACTCAATCCGATATCCATGCTAGTTTCTCACATATTTTTCTCATCTTTCCTATTCAAGCGAGACAGACGTTTCCTGAACGGCCCCATACCGATCTCTCGCAATCCAAGGATGCTTGCGAGATTTCATCGTATACACGCAAGGCTCAATTAGTGTAACGTCATGTGAAATCTTGCTTCTAACTTGCGTACTATAATAAAGGTTTCTTGGAACATATATACGTAATGATATATAGAATTTTCACGTGCATATTTCTTTCTCGCAGCGTCCGGTTCGGGATCCGTGATAGGCAGAGACCCGCTTCCGCCGAGAGCCGTCAGCACGTCTCATCTGCCTCAAAGAACGCTGACTCAACCACCGACGGCGGTGTCCACTCTTCCGCTACCGAGAAACACTACCGGCAGTAACCATCGGCAACAACCGCTTCCGCTCCATCACTCGACTCCGCTGCAGCAGCAGCAGCAGCAGCAGCAGCAGCAGCAGCAATCGCCTATGAGACAGCTGGAGAACGAGTCCACCGCCCATATACTGAGGGCCGCCAGCAACGGCGACATCGGCAAATGTCCCGGCATGTAAGTAGACTCAAAGCCGATCCTCCCAGGTATTTGTATAACGAAGTTTCGGTGTTCTGTAATTAAACCGCCGCCCCTATCGCACCCCGTAATAGGGAAACTTATTAGCGAACACATACTCGCGCGGCCGCAGCCCTGCCGTCTAATTCTGCTACCTAAGTTGCTCGACTGTTTGGTTACTTTGAGGTGGTAACTAGTAGAAATGCCGCAAGCAGCCAAATGTCTGTACCCTTGTGTATCGCGTCTGAAAAGATCACATTCGACTCTAGACAAGTATTACAACGCAGAATTATCGTTACAATTAAAGGCACGATCCTGAAGACTCGAATCTCATTCTGCCGCTTTTATAGCAAAATTATTCAACTAGTATGTCGAAACAAAATGTAGAGAACAATAATTAATTAATCGTCATAAAAGGCAGTAGCGCGTGCACTTCCACCTGAACACAACGCGATTAGCTACCGCCCGATTTAGTTCGTATATAACTCGCTATGTATTGTGTGTGTGTAGGGGCGTTCATTTAAGTCGCTGTTTAATTACTCGCCGCGTTTGTGCAAACAACAACGCGCTGTTCGTTTGTCACGAAATGTACAACCGATTAAATTTCCTGTGTGTTCTTGACAACTTATAACGTGACGATTGTATGATTATATTGTAATGTAATTACGGTAATTAATTTAGTTTCTCGTATAATGGCAAAATTATTATAATTATATTATTATAAATATATGTTCTTAAAATTTATTAAAGGATTTTTACATTTTTTCCATTAAGTTAAAAAAAAAAACATTTTTAAAAATAATGCAATAATTTTATCGTTTCAAATTTTCGTTCTCGTGAAGAGGCTATACAGACCGTCATTAATTAGACTGAAGGGCGTTGCGATGTCATAATCGACGTGAGAGCCACTCTCAAGCTCACCGAGACTCTATTTATTGTCAGGGGGGAGGTAAAACCCGTCCCCTTGGGCATATAATTTTTTCATATGTATTTTTTGTCG